GGGCCCTCCTCCACTGCCTTCCCAGGCCACAGCAGAGAGCTGTACTGGAAGAGGAGCAACCAGGACTAGAACCCAGTGCCCATTTGGGATGCCGGCACTGCAGGCAGAGGATCAACCATATGAGCTACGGAGCTGGCCCCTCCATTTTACTTTTACTAGGAGATTTTCTGTCTTCACATTCTTTTATAATGATGATTATCTTTCTGTGTTTCTGTGTGTAGCATATACTGACAATTTGTAAGACTGTGGGAGTGGTGACAAGATAAACAAAGTCATTATTTCATGTTCATTCATAATGAGAGACTTGCAGGGTACAGTATTCTGAGTTGACAGTTTTTTTTTTTTTCTTTTAAGTCTGGGACTATGTCAGTCCATTCTCTCCCAGCCTGTTGGGTTTCTGATGAGAAATCAAATAGCAGTCTAATTGGAGATCCTCTGAAGGTAATTTGGCATTTCTTTCTTGCACATTTTAGCATCTTCTCTATATGCTTTATTGTTGAAAGTTTGACTACACTATTTCATTGTGAAGGTGTTTTCTGGTCAAGTCTATCAGGAGTTCTATGTTCCTCGGGTACTTATGCCTCCCTTTAGTTCTCCAAATTAGGGAAATTTTCTGTTATTATTTTGCTGAACAGGCCTTATATTCTGTTCTCTCTTTTCACTTCTGCAGGAACTCCCAAGTCCCATATAATGGGTTATTTGATAGTCTCCCATAAATCTCCAACATTGTTTTTGATTTTTCTAATTTCTTCTTCCTCTTCCTCTTCCTTCTCCTCCTCCTCCCCTCCTTATTCTCCTTTTCCTTTTCCTTCTCCTTCTCCTCCTCCTCCTCCTCCTTCCTCCCCTTCCTTCTCTACTCCCTGCTCCCTGCTCCCTCTTTCCTCCTCCTCTTTCTCCTTCTTCTATGGTCTGAGATATTTCCAAAGATTTATTTTCTAGCTCGGATATTCTTCATCTGCTTCACCAAGTCTGTTGTTAAGATTTTTTTGCTGTATTTATATTTTACATATTGAATTCTTTGTTTCTTGTATTTCAGCTTGACTTCTCGTCAATAGCTCTATCTCATGTGAAAGTTTTTCATTCATGTCATGTATGTATTTCTTTAACTCATGAATTTGCTTCTCATTGCTTTTAAGTAATTCTATCATCTTTTTTCTAAATTCCTTTTCAGGAATTTCATCAATCTCTGTCTTCACTTCTAATATTGAAGCTCTGTTGTGTTCTCTTAGGGGAGTCATATCATATTCTTTGTTCATGTTTCTCATATTTCAATGTTTTTTTAGGTATTGTGAAAATACTTGATGGTTTTCTCCTGATATATTTTGTCTTTGAAATATGCCTCTGTTGCTTAGTGAAGTGTTTTGGTCCTTCAGTGGATATTCAGTGATATGTGCTGGTGATACAAGGAACTCTGGTCAATGCTTGGGTATGATGCAAGAGTCCAGGGTGACACCCACATTGGGTATGGTAGGTCTCTTCAATTGTCTTTTCCAAGGTGATCAATGCCTAAAACAACCATGCAGTGGACACACACCCTATCCACACATTCCAAAGAACCACAACAAGTATCTGTATGACCCTCAGTGTGAGCACAGAACATGCTGGAATGACTCACCTCAGACACTAGGAGAAATATGAGCCTCTGAAGTCAGGCACAGTGATTGCCCAGACACCCAGCTACACTCCACTTCCTAGTGTGCAGTCACAGAATACCCACAGTCATAGTACACAGGGCTCCCACAGCCACAGGGTGCAAGGTATCCACTTTCAGGCTCCTTTGTCCATTAAGAGAGCTGAGGCATTACCAGAGCCAGCTTCCTGTCATTCTGCTTTGACAGTTTGTGTACAGGGGCCAGTGAATAGAAAGGAGGCTTAAGTAGATGCTTCTCCCCTGCCAACCCCCCAAGTCAGACTCAAGGTCAGTGGGCACCATGGATTTATCACTCAGATAAAATCTCCTAAACACACATATGAGAGCAGCAGAAGACTGTAGTTTCCTTTTAAGACGGTGCCTCTTCACTGCTATTTGTTGAGAGCCTTTGTTGGGGAAATGGAATACAGGCAATGTACCCTCATTTCATGTGTTTAGGTGGGCACCCTGCACCCCACTAGTGCTCCAAGCCAGATACAAAATCCATGTGGTCTGCAGCATTCTTCCTTTGGCAATATGACCAGTGACACAGGCTGCTGCAGTCTCCTCTCATTTCTCTTTAAGAAAATGGCATCTGCTCATGATGCTGATTCTAATACTTGTGTTAGCAGAACAGAAGAGCATTGCCTTACTTTTTGGTGCTGAGTATGGTGCTCTAAGGGAGTAAGGGAAGGGAAGAAGCAGTTTGGCTTCCCTACTCCAGGCCTGGCAGTTGCTCAGACTGGGGTCAGCTCCTCAGGCTGAAGTAAAAGTCAGTGTGTGATTGTGGAATTACCTCTCAGAGAAAGCTCTGAGCAGCAGCGCACATGGTGATTTCTTCCTACCTTGTCATGGCATGATGGTAGTTCACAGCTTCTCTCCTTTTGTCCCACAGAATCTTTGTTGTTTTTTCAGTTGTTTGCAAAAAAATTCCATCAGTCATGTCCCTGGAAACATGGTCCTCCCTTTGTTCTTTTCATATCCCAGGGCAGCTGAAGTTAGTGTGGCTATACTATACCCTATCTCTCTCTTTTTTAGTTTATTTTCATCATTTGCAATGCAGAGAGGCAGACAAGCAGATAGATAGATCTCCTATCTGATGGTCACTCCCCAAATGCCTGAAACAGCCACATTTATGCTAGCCTGGAGTCAGGATTGCAGAACTCAATCCAGGTCTCCCACATGAGTGGGAGAGACTCAAGTGCCTGAGCCATCATTTGCTACCTCCAGGAGCGCACATTAGCAGGAAGCAGAAATTAAGAGTAGAGCTAGGTCTCCAACTAAGGCACTCCAATATGAGACATGGGCATCCCAAAAAGGAGTCTTAACTACTACACCAAATATCTAACCTCTCCTATATCCTTGCTCCACAGCCAAATCCTTTTCCTTATTAACTCCCGAAATCCTTTATGTATTAGCCTTAAACATTATTTATTCTGGGCCCTTTGAATCATAGGCAAGGTAGAATTCACTTCCTGCATGCACTTATGTCACCCTACTGCCTCTATAACAGTAATCATGAGTATTTTATGTAAATAATTATTCATTGAGTGTTTTCTATACAACATAGTAGGTTCTGTAATGACAAGAAATATGAAAGGCCAACGCCATGGCTCACTAGGCTAATCCTCCGTCTGTGACACTGGTACCCCTGGTTCTAGTCCCAGCTGGGGTGCCGGATTCTGTCCCGGTTGCTCCTCTTCTAGTCCAGCTCTCTGCTGGTCCCGGGAAGGCGATGGAGGATGGCCCAAGTGCTTGGGTCCCTGCACCTGCATGGGAGACCAGGGGGAAGCACCTGGCTCCTGGCTTTGGATCAGCACAGCGCGCCAGCTGTAGTGGCCATTTGAGGGGTGAACCAATGGAAGGAAGACCTTTCTCTCTGTCTCTCACTCTCACTGTCTAACTCTGCCTGTCAAAAAAAAAAAAGAAGTATGACGGATATCATATCACCCATGATACTGACATATGCTATTCTCTTACATACTACCTACTCCATTTTAGGCCTTCATTAACAATGGGTCCACATTACTGATTTATTTCTTTAGAGCTCTTAAATTGAGTAGCAGTATATTGATGTGTCAGACAAAGAACATTTAAGCTTATAGTGACTTATTATATGGAAGAGTACAAATATTGTCTGTGATTCGAAGTAATAGAATATAGAACCAGAAAGAAGGCAGTTATAAAAATTAATATTTAGGACTAAAATAAAAGACTAATTTCTTTTAAATATTTAAACCATTTTTACAACTTAAGCAACACATCCTTACTATTGAAATATTGTAGATAAACAGAGATCTAAGTATATTACATAGAGACAATTACTGATGATACTTTTTGTAACCATCCAGTCTTCTGAAAGTATAACCTTACTATTGTATATGTGTCTGTGCATTATACATAACAAAATGAGTTACATTTAGTATTTTGTCTGTGACTTGTTTTATGAAAAATTCCAAGCCAGATATACATCTCTACAATTATATCAGAATATACATATATATTTATAGAAGTATATCTCATTATTATATTCTTGTCATAATGAATTCACAGATTTTTGTTATATAAGTTGCTATATTTTTAATCAGTCTTCTTTTGTTGGTAAGCAGACTGTTCCCAATTTTTACATGTGTGCTACATTTTTTATACTATTGTGATAGCTATATGGTGTTGCACTGTAGAAATTATCACTTTAGGTGATTTTGTAATATAGAATTATTGGGTCAATGGATAACTAGAACAGAACAAAACTGAATGAACAACCAACCCAGTGATACGGTTAACTGCCATTACAAGAGTTGTTCAAGTTGTTAATGTAGAGTCTGCATGTTCATTGGGTAGGAATTTTGAAGAGATGAGGCCAGCATCAGATCAAAAGAGTAGGAAATAGTTCTAAAATTCTTTTAAGTGTTGATATTCTGTGAGTCTATGAGTGCTATGAACAAACTGTACACCAGTCCTTCTTTCTGTTTTTTTTTAACCTTGTTTGACCAATTCCTACAGTAGCCTTATGTTCATGGATGTGAAATGACTGAGATGCTGTAACTCCAGGAGATATTTAATGGTGTCATAAACTCCATGGTATGCACAGTGAGGGAATATAGATCTAGAAGTTAATTTCCTTTTATGGGGAAGGAGTTTAAAAATCCCCATTCCCTCACCTAGACATGAGAGGATATAGATTAAATGAGGACCCTGAGAACTTGAGATTATGAAAGGGAAAAGGAGAAATGTTATACAGGGTCCTTGATGGAAATCGTTTCTTATTAAGTCATGAAGAGTATGTATTTAGAAATCTCTGAAATTTTAGTAGCTTAGGTAGTACCCATGATTACATTGCATTAACAGTAACTGCCCTGAGCAAACATACCAGAGTAGATCAGGGTAGGACAAGAAGAGCATGGAACACAAAGAAGAAGATCAGCAGAACCTGCACAATGAAAGAAAAAGAGATAATATGCTGCACCATGACCAAAATTTCAAAATCTATCAAACAAAATTCCCTAGGGAGTTAGCAAATTTCTTATGAAAATTAATTGAAATTAATATAATTTTATGCTTTTATTATATAAATTATAAAATTGTATTATATATGGTGAACTACAAATACATGTAAGTTAACTTTAATGGTATATTTAGTCTCATTCCACAGTTGAATCACTTTCAAAGTAAGTGTTTGTTATCCTTTAAAAAACATCTAGGGCAAAATTTCCTCCCTGGGTAGTGTTCTAGATGCACACAGAAGGTGGAAATCCCCCTTCACTAAATTGCAGTCATAATTCTGGTGCTTAACATGGGTTAGGTGGGAAGGCAAAGCTCTATGGGTTGCTACCCTAGCCTTGTATATTCATCACACATTTGTGTTACATACTATAGGATTTCTAAATTAGTTCTACCATCATGAAGTTATGAGATTTCTAAAAGGTACTGCATATACACACACATACACCATTTTTAATGCCTGGTACATAGCATTACATGCTAAAATTAATTCCTCTGAATATAGCCCTGAGGCAGAAAAGTGGAATGTGAGGCTATCTCTGAAGAAAGGGAAAAACAGTGCCTAGTGGAACCAGGGGACATATGACTGTGAGGGTTCTGGAGCAGCAGGAACAAAGCAAAACATAAAACAACGTAAAGCATGTGAAACAAGGAAATAATGTGAGATACAATTCCATGCACATTGAAGAGAAAGGAAAGATTAAATTCAGATTTTTCAAAGCATATCTTGGATCACTACCCTTATGAGGGGCTAATATACATAGTCCACAAACAACTAACTCGCTGGTCAAAGAAATTTGGAAAGCATAGTATATCTGAGTTTTGGAGGACCAAAATACATAGCAGTGTTTTAAAAACTCATAAAAGTAAGACATCATTTAAAAGTAAGAAAATCATTTAACTTGATATCCACCAAAGATATTTGAATACATATTTTCTTTTTTTGAATCTGTAAAATTTTTATTAAAAATATTTAAGAGATATGTGAAAATGTACATAATTATAGGATACTGTGTGATGTATATATTTTGTAATATTGAATCTGGGTAAATATATTCACCTTTTCAAATATTTAACATTTATTAATAGTGAAAGTGTCAAAAATCATATTATCCAGGTTTTTGAAAAACAGAAATATACAGCATATTAATAGTACCTGTAGTCACTCTACTGTCCAATAGAAAACCAAGACTTTTTACATCTATCTAGCTTTACCTCCTACCTGTCAATCAACCGCCCTCCCCAGCGTTTGGTAACCACAATTACATTTTTAAGTTCCATGACATCACCTATTTTTTAGACTCCACATATGAGTGAGGTCATTGGATATTTTTCTTCTGTGCTTGACTTATTCTACTTAGTATAATGACTTTCACTTCCATCTATGTTGTTGGAAATGACGTGATTTCATCCTTCTGATAGTTGAGTAATATTGCCTTGTGTATTATTGGCACATTTTCTTCATTAATTCATCAGTACATAGATACTTAAGTTGTTCCCATTTCTTGACTATTTTGAGTAGTGCTGTAATAAACATGGACATGCAGCTGAACTTTGACAGATCAGTTTCATTTCCTTTGTTTCTATACCCAGAAAAGGGATGGTCAAATCATATGGTAGTTCCATTTTTAGTTTTTGAGAAACCTCCATCCTGTTTTCCACAGTGGCTGTTTGAATTTATATTCCCACTAACTGTGTGAATGTATTCCCATTTCTCCACATCTTTACCAACACTGTTTATCTTTTGTCTTTTTGGTAATATCCAACCTTACTAGAGTTGTTTTGATTTGCATTTCCCTGATGATTAGTGATGTTGAGCATCTCTTCATGTACCTGCTGGCTATCTGTATGTCTTTCTTTAAAAAAAAAAAGTGAACAGTTTATTAAGAATTAAATGAATGTATGGAATGTGATACAGTACAAGTAAGACACTTGTAATTAAGATGGGTATAATAGTACTACTTGCATGAAATATTAATTTTATTTCAAAAAACATCACAAGACAAAAAGAAAAGGCAATTCCATCATTATAAAGTATTTCATGCAAAGTACTTAAAAAAAACCATCACCCAACACAAAGCTATCTGAATTACTGCCATGCTAGCATAGTAACCACAATATAATCATTCATGAAAAAAAAAACACACAGATTAAGCAATGGACTAGATGAAATAATACAGTTTGTAATATTGTAAACTCGTGGACTAGAGAAATGTTACATGACAGGAAGTTCCAAACTCACTCACAGGGTGCATAAGATGGGCTAACCATTGGGAAATACGTAAATACAAATGCCAATAAATCATCATGGTATCTTCTAATTTTAAAACCTGAACACCTAGAGAACCTAAAATATTTATATAAAATTTGGTGTAATCCATTTGTGTGTCAAGATATAACTTTTTGATTGTATCTGCAATTATTAGGGAGGTGTATGAAAGTACTTCAAAGTACTTTTAACAGTTCATGTTTTGAACTTTTAACTAATGACCATAAATTATACCATAGAAATAACTCTAGGTATGCGTTTATTTTTATTAACCATTATTCACTATGGGAAACATGATCTTCTAGCACTTTATATACAAGTTACTGCAAAGTACCAGTTAAGTAAAGACTAAATGAAATATAAAACAAAGCTGAATTGGTTGAAAGGGGAGAACTTCCTCTTTTGCAAAAACTTAAGTGGTTAAAAACAGAGCTAGAGTCCAAAAAGCAAATATTCTGTCAAGCTGTAATGCATGTCTCTGTACAATATGCTTGAACAGAATTCATGGAATAGTCAGGAATGGTGTTTTAAGAGATTAGCACCTCCTTCCACAGCTGCCAAACTGAACACAAGCCTGGTCTTCACAAGGTGCACAAAACTGGAAGTGTATTTTCAAGAGGGCATAATGTCATGGTGAGACAACTGAGGACCAGGAAGGGCCTGCGATACTGCAACAGCCCATTTCAGAGGCCAGGAGACAACAAAGACATCTATTAGATATTTTATGGTTCTGGCCGGCACCGTGACTCACTAAGCTAATCCTCCACCTGCAGCGCTGGCACCCGGGGTTCTAGTCCCAATTGGGGTGCCGGATTCTGTTTTGGTTGCTCTTCTTCCAGTCCAGCTCTCTGCTGTGGCCCTGGAGGGCAGTGGAGGATGGCCCAAGTGCTTGGGCCCCTGCACCCACATAGGAGACCAGGAGGAAGCACCTGGCTCCTGGCTTTGGACTGGTGCAGCGCATCAGCCCTGGCTGCCATCTGGGGGGTGAACCAATGAAAAGAAGACCTTTCTCTTTCTCTCTCACTGTCTAACTCTGCCTGTAAAAAAAAAGATATTTTAAGGGTTCTGACTCAACTCATGATGTATAGATTGGTTACAGATACAACATTAAGACCAAAAAAATAAATAAATAAATAAAAAGAATAGGGAAAAAATAAAAACTACTTAGAATAAAAAACTACCCATCCTCATTGCTATTTTTTTTCCTTTTAGACTTCAGTTAATTAAAACAGAGTGGGAAATTATCCAGAATTGCCCTTCCTATCTCTGAAATTCAACTTCCTATTTACAGTTCATGAAAACAACATAATTGCCCATAAGCAAGATTTAGCTTTGCTAAAAATAGGAGCAATTGCTTTAATTTTCAGAGAATGACATTAGAAAATTTTCCAATCCAAGATCCAGAGTTTGAGACCAGTAAAGAACCTTCTGTAGTAATCAAAATCAATCATAGTTAGAGCTCTTTGGAATGTATGTCTTAGAAATACAAAGACATCACAAATTAGAAACTCCAGAGTATTTACAAGTAAGTTCTTAAAAAAAAGTTATTAACGTGAGACAAATGTTTCCATCAGCAAATTAAATCTGATAAATCAATGTTACTCAAAAACTCAATATAGCCTCTGGAATCAAACGTAGAGATCACTCAATCATAACAATGCCAGATGAAGAACAGATGAGCAGTATGTACGACTGTAAACTGCATGCAGCTCTAAAGCAGTAGATTTATATTACAAAGCAATGTAAATAAATACTGGGCTAGTACAAAAGCTCTTATTTACAGTTTCACAAATGAAATTGTATTCAATATAAATTATGTGCTTTAAAGAACTATACTATATTAATAAGATGAGTTCTGTTAAGACCATGACAGTTTTTGTTAGAATCAATGCATAATCCATAAAAGATTCAAGTTAACTCTGCATATAATTTAGTGCAGACAAACCCAGTTTAACCTAGAATGGCATCTGTTAAAGTGTTAAAAAACAGGAACTATTTAGAAATCACTGTACATTATTAAAGCTCTGTCAACTCAGAATGTTAAACTATTTTCACACTTTTTAGCCTGCTGCCATAGGCCTGTGGACAAGGTTACTTTTACAGCAAAGAAATAGCACTTACAGGCCACCAGCTCTTTTGATGATTTTAGGTTCAGTAGCATTCGTTGTGTGTCTTCTGTTGAGAAATGTCTGTTTAAAATCTACTGCCCAACTTTTAATTGAAATATTTGGTTTTTGGTTATTGACTTGTTTATGTTCCTTATATATTCTGGATATTAACTTCCGGGCAGACACAAAGCTTGAAAATATTTTCTGGCATTCTGTAGATTGTCTTTTCACACTGCTGATTGCTTTTCTTTCATGCAAAAACTCCGTACTTGATGAAATCCCATTTGTCTAGTTTTGCTTTTATTTCTTGTGAATGTAGGACCTAATCTAGAATATTCTTACTCATTTCAAGTCTTAAGGGTTTTCTCCATGTTTTCTTCAAATACTTTCAAGTTATCAGGTCTCACAATTAGGTCTTAAGTCATTTTTAATTGATTTTTGTACATGGTGAAAAATAGGGGTCAGATTTCTTCTGCATGAGTATATCTAGTTTTCCAAGCACCATTTATTGAAAGACTATTCTTTTCAGATGCACACTCTTTGCACCCCTGT